GTCTAAAATGAGAAGACTATTAGTCTTTAGATTAATTTAGGTTTTTTGTAATAAAGTTTCTACTATGGCATTATATTTATAAAAAAAGAAAAAAAAAAAATCTCTAATAATTAAAAAATATAAAAATATAAACTAATACTGTATCAATTGTACGTATATATATTTAAAATTAAATATTTTTTTATCTTAATACTGTAATAACTTTAATACATTTAATAGATTTTTTATTTGAATTTTGCAAATCTTTATTAAAAATATTAAATTTTATTAAATAATTTTACGATAAATAACCTTTGCACATAATAAAAGTCGATAAAGCAAATCACATTATATACTGTAATTTTTACGCTCGTATAAAGTCCAAGCATTTTAAAAATATGCTACTGTGAGAATATGGAGTTGACAAATTTCCCCCACCACTTCCAATTGTTTCTACTAATTATTCACATATCAGAGTATAGTACTCCGATAATGAAGTGGTGGGGAAATTTTAAACCCGAAAAATATAAAATCAAACGTCTTTCTTAGTCATCATAAGAATTGAATGTTGAGCTTGCAAGTCGGAGTTGAAAGGTGCGTGATTTATTCTTCAATCCAAGAATCTGGGCTATAATTCTAGCTAACCTGGTTGATCTGGTTTAAAAACATCAAACCTTGCCGTCTGAAAATTAATTATTTACTTAGCTAATGTTAAAAATAGGCTCTTCTAGTAAATTACAGTTCACAAATTAACAATAATAGTTCCTCAAGTATGGTACTGTACATTATCTTAAAAAAAAAAAAAATCAATAAAAAAAATTATTAAAAAAAGCGATAATTTAACAAAATTATATTGATAAATCTAAAAGACAAAGTTGATCTCATTAAATTCTACGCTTATAGAAACGTCTCCACTTTGCATCAATTTTTTCCAAGTAATAAGTTCCTTCAAAGAACGCTTCTTCGACTGAACTTCCATCACCCACAACGTTAAAATCATTTTTATTATGACTCTCTTCCCGCAATCGCATCACTTCATCAAACTTTTCTGGTGATGTTTTTACACGAGAATCAAGGCGATTTTTTATATCCAATATTTTATAGATTTGAGTGATGGGTTTTACAATTTTGAAAGAGAAAAATGACGACGCTAAACCTGATCCGTATGAAAACATGCCAACGCGTTTTCCCACCTAGTGCATTTATATCTACATTAGTATTTGATTGAACAAGTACGTATTAAAAAATAATATTAACACACCAGCTCTTCAGGTGTAACGGTTGACAGCAAGGTTGCAAGGCACGCATACAAAGAGGCGCAGTACATATTTCCTATTTTGGTAGCAGCCAATAAATTGGGTAAAACTTTGTTTGTATATGAAGGTTTGGAAACCTCAACAAATGCCTTTTCAAGCTCCTTGGATTGCAAAGACTCCTCAGTATTCATACCCTATTTGGTAAATAAGTTACATAAGTAATAACAATAATCAAAATTATATTTTAGTCTAACAAACTTTACCTTGAATTGTTGAACGTTTTTAAAACAAGGGTCTTCGGCATTGTAAACAAAATCATTATAGAATAGCCTAGCATAAGATTTTTGTACGAGCTTGCAGTAAGGCGCGTGGAAAAGCATGTAATCAAAGTA